AGAGAAGCCCTTGTGCTGCAACAGAATGACTCTTAGTGAAAGTGACACCTCATCAATTCTCTGCATATTTCTGGCAGCGGCTCAGCGTGCTTAATTCACTAATTTCCCACCTTTTGCATTGAATGAATCTCAGTGGTCTGATGGTTCAGAGCTGATAATCTTCCTCTGAGCAAAACGGAAATCAATTGTGTGACATATACCGGGGTAATTTTTCTTTACGTGGCAATTTTAAGTTGCTACAGTTTTTCCACTTTGTCTGAGGCCTATGGGTTTTTTTTTGTTTTTTTTTTTCTGGATCAGCAGCAATTCTCTCAGTGTCTCTGAAGTTCCATGGGTCTATTTAACGGTGGAAAATATTTAGATCTGATCTGATTGTTCTACTCATCCATCATTTCACTGACAGTGAATCAACCAGGGAACTGTTTTGACCACTAAACTGTTCAAACACACAACTCTCCGGTCTGGATTTGTAGATTTCAGGGTTTTTTTTTTTATTTCGCCCACGCTGTGAATCAAGTTCATAAATCAGGTACTCGGTTATTAACACGGCACTCAGTAACTTATTGACAGTGATCTTGAACATTTATCAATTACGAATACTGAAAGCAACACGCTAACTCTTGGGTAAGGATAAAGTATTGTTGTTTGTATCGGGGAATACGCTGCTCTCTTTGATAAATAACTTTGTTGACGGTTATAGGCAATCGTTTACTGTTTGATTGATGACAGAAGCAATTGTCGGCGGAGAAATATTTTATATGACACTTTATGCTGCATGGGACTGCATACTTCAGAAAACTTCTACTCTGCAGTATTTTACATACGGTACTTTACAGAGAGTAAAGCTCTGTTGAATTTTTTGAATGCCAAACCCATATGTTGCTCATGTGGTAGTACGTGAACAACCGTGATTTGTACTTTTTACGTAAGCACAGAATAGAGAAGAAAACTTTAGTTTTGCTGCTTCTGTTGACAAAAATGATCAAAAATCTGTTGCTGATGACGAGCTTCAAACAGGATCTTATTACAGTCTTAGCTGAGATGTTACGCGTCTGACCGTTTGCAGATGATGAACCATCGTTTGTGGTGGTCAAAGTTGCCTTTTCAGCGGACGAAAAGGTGTCGTTTTACAACCGAACAATTCCTCTCGTTCACATCTTGTGATGTATATCCATTTCTCCTCCCGATGACAGTAATAACCAAAATTTCCCCCGTGATCCGTACATGGAGGACCGTAGCCTGGATTGATTAATAGGCTGATAAAGCGATGTATCATGATTTAATGGCTCATGTAAGTCGTTTTCCAGCGTGAATGTGCGCACTTTGGTAAGAAACAGAAAAAAAAAAAGTTGATTTGGAATATATTCCCGTACGCTGCAGTTGCCTTTCATTACTGTTGTTGCCTTTTCTTACAGTTTTTGTTTTCTGTCAAATCCAACTTGTTTGTAAAGTGGATCCTCAGAAGAAGCGCTTTGTGTCAGTGTGGTAAAAAGATAGTTGCACTCAGCAAATGCTGAATGAAGTCATGCTTATTAAATGTCTTCTGTTCCTTTCCCTCTCTGGCCCACTTTTTGGTGTTGTACAGTGCCGGATAAAATCTAGGACAGCTCTATTTTAGCTTCATTCATGAAGAGATACACACTTCATATTATTATTCAGCGCAGCGCGGATACAAGTTGCTTCTTGGGAACTTTAATCTGGACGCAGTGTGCCGCGGCTGTGATGTTGCTGGTGGAGGTGAGGTGAAGGTAATGCAAAACAATTCATTTCCATCTCATTTCCAGAATTTCTCTGTGTAGCTCCGCGGGAAGAAGACGTGAAGGAATGCAATTTTTTTTTCCGCACAATTAGAAAAACCAGAGTCAAAAACATGAAAAGGAATTGAGCTGGTTGTCATAATCTATTGAAAACAAATGTATTTCTGCGACTTTTGGAGGATTAAAACAAAAGGTTGATTTTAAAACAAACCACAAAATAACCAGTAAGTTTACACAGACAACTGTTGTCTGTGTTTGTGTAATTGTGTTCCCAGCCATCGATCTCTCGGTGTCTCTCAGAGACATCCTCAAAGAATTCCTCTCAGGTCTGCAGCCAGATTTTATTGTCTGCTCAGTGCTCTGACACAATGACCTCTATTTTGCCAGACATTTCGTCTGAGATTAAAATCTTTTTAAAGAAGGACATCTCACACAAGAGGGGCTTAAGGCTTATATTCCCTTTGAGATAAAGCAAAGTCGGCGTCACGTTTGCTTTGGCAGGCACGAAGGTTGCCCGACTTGTTCCGGAATGGCATGTTTTGGAGACAACTTCTTGGTATTTTGGTTCACTTTAGCTTCAGCTCAGATCCAGGCTGCGTGTTTGTTTGGTTCAAAGAGAGCGTATCACCCATTGAGAAACTGCCAGTCAAAGGAGGGCGCTGTTTTTTTTACCATGGTGTTAAACCAAACCAGTCTTTGTCTTTGCTCCTCAACTCTTCACTTCTCAGATACAAAGTCTTTGCTCCTCAACTCTTCACTTCTAAATCAGATCACAGATCTTAAATGGCTGCTCAGATACGGACAAATAGAAAACACATGATTCAGTTTACATACAGAACTGAGCAAAAAGTCTTACATTTACTTTATGTTCCATTTTTTGCAGCATTTTCACGCACTTTAAAGAAAACATAAAGGAATCAAAGCTTATTGCTTT